CTCTCTCTCTCTCTCTCTCTCTCTCTCTCTCTCTCTCTCTCTCTCTCTCACACACACACACACACACACACACACACAAAGGGGGTCCGAAAGGGGGTCCGAAATCCCCCGACAGGTGAGTGCACTGGGGGGGGCCGGACCCCAACCGGGTGCCCTGCCCGGCCAGGCCGCCCGGGCCCCTGCCGGTCACCCAGGCGGCCCGGATCCCTACTCAGAAAAAAACTGATTTGGCAAGAATTTGCAAGACAATGCAACAGCAACAGGCAGGCGTGAATACGGTTCACAGCTGGGCTGTAATTCCAGGCGCTCAGGTGGGTCACGGGCGTGCCCAGCGCACTTTTGTGCTGGTCCATTTCAGATCCTGAACGTGCGAAAATGGGCCTTCCACTTGCCGAGGAAGGCCCGGAAAAATTCTCTGGTGTTACAAGACTGCAGTAGGCCCTTTTTTTTGGGTCAAATCTGAGCCGCTGCTCTTCCAAGATCAACGCCCAGATTGGGCCATGATGTTTTTGCTCCTGAGGGTGGCAATTCAAGCGCCAAACCCAACCTTCCCAGCTGCCGGCCCCTGCTACTCGTCCCTCCAGTACATCATCGTCGTCTTTGAGTCGGTCATCCCTGCGCTCACGACCGAGGTCGCATGACCCACCTACTAACGATGTGTGTGTGTGTGTGTGTATGAGAGAGAGAGAGAGAGAGACACAGACAGACAGCCAGCCAGCCCGCCAGCCAGAGATCTTCTCCTCCTTCCTCCTCCCTCCTCCCTCCTCCCTTCTTCCTCCTCGTCCTTCCTCCTCGTCCTTCCTCCTCGTCCTTCCTCCTTGTCCTTCCTCCTCGTCCTTCCTCCTCGTCCTTCCTCCTCGTCTCTCCTCCCTCCTTCCTCCTCCTCCCTCCTCCCTCCTCCCTCCTCCTCCTTCTTCCTCCCCTCTCCTCCCATTGTGTGCCACATGGCAGCATGGTGTGCGTTTTTTTTGTTTTTCTCTTCACTCTTGTCGTCCTCCACTGCCTCCTCTTCCTCCTTCCTCCTCCCTGCTACTTCTCCTTCGCCCTCCTTCCTCCTCCCCTCTCTTCCTGTAGCATGCCACGTGGGAGGGTGGCCTCCTGCTCCTCCTCCCCTCGTCTCCTCCTCCTCCTCCTCCTCCTCCTCCTCCTTCGTCCTCCTTCCTCCTCCTTCCTCGTTCCTCCTTCCTCCTCCTTCCTCGTCATCTCTCGTCCTCCGGTGTGCCCATGGCACCCCAAGCACACGATTTTTGATTTTTATCTTCTTGTCCTCCTCCCCTTCTCCTCCTCCTCCTCCTTCATACTCGTCTCCCCTCGTCCTCCTTCCTCCTCCTTCGTCCTTCATCCTCTTTCCTCCTTCCTACTCTTGTCACCTCTCATCATGTGCCACGTGGCACACCGGTGTGCATTTTTGTTTTTTTAATTTGAATCTTCTCCTTCTAGTCATCCTTCTACCTCCTCCTCCTCCTTCCTCCTCATCTCTCCTCACCTTCCCTCATCCTCCTTCCCCTCATCCATGCCCTCTCCACTCCCCCAAACCAACTTGCCGTTTTCAAAATAAGGCCAGATTCTGCACGCTCGTCGAACAGCTCCGGAGTTAAAAAAATAAAATGTCCTGGGCACTTCACAGCCTGACCGCGTGACCCGGGTGGACCCAAGGCTCGCCGCCAGGCCAGGAATCCCCGCTCGGGCGACTTTTTAGATCAGTTTGATAGAGAGAAGAGAGCTCATTGCACTGCATTCATAACTAATTGACACATCGGAGACTTACACTGAAGGGCGTGGGCCAAAGCTCTCTCTTGAAACTTGGCTAACCTCTCCACTCGGTCAGCTTCGACCTCGCTTTTGGTCTCTCCGTTCCTGCTGCTGATTTTCTCAACACCATTCTCTGCCATGACAAAGCATTCCATGGAAAACAGAGCCAATAGCCCAGAAAAAAACAAGATGAGACAAAAATGGAAGAAATGATGCCTGAACTGAAGTCCAAATATGTGCTCGCAGCGAACGTACCCCACAGTTTTGACAGTCATGCACATCATGCTTGCCTTTGCAGGAGAGCAATCGGCCACATTCGTTGCATACACATGATTGATGATCATTCACAAAAATCTCCTAGCTATTGTCAGCAACTTGCAACCATCACAGTAGAAGAGGAAGAGTTCTGCTCTTAAATGGATGTTCTCCTATGATCAGCATTTCCCAGGAAACCAAGATTTTGAAAAACAGAAAAAAAAAACTGGCACAAATTAATCAGAAAAGTGCCTTGCCTTGATGGGGGAAGGAGAGTGGG